ATACTATTTTGTGCACATATTTTCCTCTTCAGGATTTATATTGCTCTCAAGATCAAATCTAAACATGTGTCAGATTTTCAAGATCCTTCATAGCAGTTATGCAGATAAATCCTAAGTAAATCTGTTCCATATTCATAAGTGTGACAATCTTTGTGTTTAACTTTAGGTTAATTCAATAAACATTTATTAAAATATTACTGTTGCCATCATTCTAATTTTTGCCTCTATTTCTATAATGCTAGTCTTCCAGCTTGGATGGCTAAAAATAATCTTTATTCATTATTTAAAGCTTATTCATGAAGCCCTCGTAGTGTATTTCATTCTACTGGGAACCCACCCTAACAACCATGTACATTTAGAGCTTTTTCTCCCCTTTCTCTGAATTACATAACAACTCATTATTTACTTTCCTAAATGAGCTTAAATTGTATCATGAATATGAAGTTATCATAAATTTACTCTCACTGTTTTAATATTTAATTTTAATATTATTTTAATTCAGTGTGTCTAGGTCACTTCAGGAAAATTTACTACTCTGAGAAAAATAAGTGGAAACTCATATCCTTGAATCAGTTTCTCTGAAACTACTAAAAGATGCAAAGTTTCACTCAAATCTTAAAAGTCACTCAGAATATCTTCCTGAAAGTTTTCTAAGTCTCATGTTGCTGATGAATGTATTTGCTTGTTTACTTTTTCAATTTCTCAAACAAGAATAAAACAGTAATTAATGAAGAAGCAAGAGAAGAAGTTTAAAATTATATAACATTGTAGTTTAATGAATACCATTTAATGTAACTGGTTTCTGTATTGACTTATGAAATCAATTAATGTACCTTTTGAAAAGCCTTATACTAATCAGGTATATCATTTTTATTTCATTATATATAGTCATTGTGGTTATTTCTACAGCACAGTGTGATTTAGTTAACTAGCTGGGAGTGTAACACCTTTAGATCAGGTTTGGCATACCTCATTTCTAATTATCATTCCTTTCCATGAATATAACCCACCATTAAATTAAAAAAAAAAAGGCTACATTTTATTTTGCCTTTCTTGGCACAGCTGAAATTTTCTGTAGACTTTATATAGGTTTACAAGATATCTACTGGGTGCTGGGAACCAGAAATCCTGATAAGGTACCTGACTCCATTGACATCACATAAATTTGTCAAAGATGTGTAATCTGGTCTCCCAGATCCTGATGCATTGTGTTATCTGTCATACAAGAGGGACTGCCATTTGTTCTACCTTTTATTTGCTAGAATCTTCCATTGGCTGAGTGACTTCAATTACTTTTTAGAAACAAAACCTTTTATTTATCTGGTCATGAGTTTTTGTTCATTTCAAAAGTCTCAAGTAATTTGTTACAGGAGACTATCAGACAAACAAAATAAATTCTTTAGATATACTGATACTATTTTTTTTACAAAGAATACCATGTAGTATAATAATGTTTTTTATTTTTAAAAATTCCTTTCTAGTTATTAAAAAATTAGTGCTAGACTGCTCCAGACATATGTTTTTTAAAGTTATTTTGTAAAATAAGTTTATAAAATGAACATTTTCATTTCTTTATCTCAATGTCCATACACTATCACATCACTCATTATTGTATATAAATGCATTCATTAATAATTGTGGATGTGATTGAAGGTTTGTCACATGTTCTATTTTATAGAGGATATGCACAAAACACAAGTGAGGCTGTTCTAACTAGCGTCTCCCTTCTCCTGCCACCTCATACCATTTATAAATAAGGAAAGGATCACATGAGGCCATTAAAGTGATTGAAATTGTTCTTCCTAAAGAAAATCTGATTGAAGTATATTTCAATGGTAGTTCAAAGAATGTCATCATCTTGTATAATTTGAACATGGCCCAGTATTTTGTTCTAACATCTTATTGGATTAAAACATATATTATCCATGACCTTCTTCATGTTCTAACATACTTGCAATGTATCCAGTATATTATCCTAGCAGTTTTTGCCATGTGTCTATTCCCAGGACATTTCTTTCCGTCTCATTTCTTGACAATTTTTGTTCCTTGGTGAGAGAGAATAGCTCTCAACCACATTGACTGGTCTGATTTTAAATTTATGACTTGGTGGGTCCTTAATGCCACCCTGCAGTCACACTATATTCTGTAGTCCATTCCCTCTTGTACCCTCCTAGCTGACTACTTAACTGCCTTTCCTCATACCACTAACGTGTCTTCCATAATACAAGGTCTTCTCAGTTGAAGACCTTGCCTCCCATTTCACTGAGAAAGTGGCATTATTCAGAGGAGAGCACCCATAGCCCCTCCACCACATCTGTACTTCCACCAGCACCTGCACCTTGTACCTGGCCTTCTGGCTTGGTAGTACAATGATCTTTGGAAGATCTTTATTCCCTGTGCTCTAATTATTTTTTGCACTAGATCCTGTCTTTTATTGCCTGCTCAAAGGCCTTCCTCCGGAAATCCCTTGTTTCCCCATCTCACCTCCCACCATCTCTTGCATCACTGATTTTTACTCTTTACCAGAGCATTTCATTAGCACACAGACCTGCTGTTATTTCTCTCACCTTAAAACAAAACAAAGAATACAACTTCTCTTGATCCAGCTTTACCCACAGCTACTGCTCTATTTTTCTGCTTCTCATTGTAGTCAGATTACTCAAAAAGAGTTACCTATACCTGCAGATAACTTTCAGTATCTGAGGTTAATAAATACTTGGCGTGGGAGGATCCCTGAGACAGTTTGAGGCTGTGAAACAAATCCAGTGTTTAGAAGAAAATGATAGATAATTCTACTTAATGAGTACACTTAATGAGTACACATTATTGTAATGAAATATGTTTAATTAAAAAGAAGTCTGCTTTCTAATAATTATACTGACTGTACACCAGTTTGGAAAACCACTAAGATTGATAAAGACAATACACATAAAGGCTGCAGGGAAAGTTTACACAAGGAGGGTAAATAAGTGTCGTTTTATAACTGTCATTTAAAGTTAGCATTCTATATAGCACTCCTAAGCTATTTTAATATACTTTGTCCTCTCAAACCCTATTAAATCCCTCCCAAGAAAGCTTTTGCTCTCACCACTCCACTAAAACTACACTGTGAAGTCATCAATTACCTGTATATTACTAAATCTGATGAATGCTTAATCCTCATGTTACTTGGCCTTGAAGTAGGGTATGACACTCTTGAGGACACCCTTCTTCTTGATACCCTGTCTTAACTTGCCTCTCAGGATGCCCCTTCTTTTAGACTTCCTTTGCTAGCCCCTCTTGTACTAGATCTCCTAACTATTCATCCAGTCTCCCTGGATGACTTGGATTTAATTGTCATCTTTACACTACAACACCCAGTTGACAGCTCTGGCCTAGACCTCCCTACTCAGTATTCCACTCGAATATCCAAGTCCCTCAAACTTAACGTGCCTTTTCAGTCTTTTACCTAAAATTTAGTGTAGCTGTACCCTGCCCTATCTCAGCTCTGTCCTTCAGGTTGGTGAGCTGAAAAATCTTAGAGTCATCCTCTTTTTCCCCCTCTTTCTACCACATCCCATATTCAACCCATCCAGAAGTCCTTTTGACTCAAAATATCCAGTGCTGACGATTTCTCCTCATCACTGATAGTGGCTGGTACCAGGACCGTCTGGTCCTGGCCACCATCACCTCCCACTGGAATTGCTTCAATAGTTCTAACTGGCCTCCCTGTTTCCACCCTGCCTTCCAGCCTTAAAGTCTGTTCTTAACACAGTAGCCTGAACAATCCCTTTCTAACATAAATGAGACCATATTATTACTTCAATAATAACCCTCAACAGCTTACACTCTTATTCAGGAAAAACCACTGAAGGCTTTATAATGCCTTCAAGGCATTGTGATTAGTTTCTCCCTTTCTTGTTTTATTTCTGCCCTTTCAGTTTCTTGAACCTGATATAGGACATTTGCATTGCTGGGTCCCCCTGCCTGGGACATGCTTCTTCAGGATATCCATCTTGAGGACTTCCTCAAGGGACATTTTCTCAGAGAAGCTTACCCTGAAAACCCCAAACCCCTACTTCTCAATTTCCAGGGAACTGTGATTTCCCCTTATCCTGCTTTAATTTTTTCCCAATAAACATCATCTTATAGCTTATCACATAATTTAGCTCTTCTCTGTATTGCTTGTGGTTTCTTCCCCCACTTTGTAAGCTTCACAAAGGGCAGGGATTCTGTCCTTCTCATCTGGCATATAGTCAGTCAAATGATTTCCCTTTCTCTCAGCATCATTTCACTCCTGCTGCTTCTCAAAGGCAATAATGGTTCTGTTTCCAACAGTTAACTTGGACTCTCTCCATTTTAGGGGCCTGTTCCTTAGGATATTTCTCTCCGCATTTACCTTTTTAATCATATCTTTTTGTCCATTTTGTTTTCTTTTACTTGTTCTGTGTGCTAAGCTAATTTTAAGCATACATATTTAATTTTCTGATCTTCAAGTCTTCTTATCCCCTTTCTTATCTTTGGTCCTTTCTTAGCTATATTTCTATTTCTAGAAGATTTTTTTTCTCTGTCCTAGTTCTCCAATACTTTTATTCTTAACTAGTTACAGAAATCTTGCTTTTCCCTTGAAATATTTCCCATGAAAACTGTAGCACCAATTTCTACCCTCTATCTACCTGTCCCCTCCATTCACCCTGCAGGCAACCTTGATTGCCATGATTTGGATCTGCCCTTCACTCAACATTCTACTGAAATGAAGATTCCCTTTGACTTAAAGCTATTATGAAATTACTTAGTGTTACAAATATGTATATAGTTTGTTTATTTTCAATATACTTTTGTATCTTCTATTTTAGAAAACTGCAAAAATTTTGTGTATACATTTATATATATATTTATTTATTTATTTATTATGCATTGAACTATTTTTCTATTTTGTCCAGTTTTTCCTGAAAGCAAGCAATTTCTAGATCTTTCTCTATTGGGTATCTAAAATTGTTTCATATTCTTATCTTTAACAGGTCATTGCTTTAGTGATGGATATATTTACAGACGTGGACATTTTCAAAGAAATAGTGGAGGCATCAACTCGAGGGATACCTGTATACATTCTGCTTGATGAGTCAAACTTTAATCATTTCCTAAGTATGACCGAGAAACAGGGCTGTCAAGTTCAACGTCTCAGAGTAAATATTTCATGCTTTGTTTTGTTTTCTTCAACTATTTTATCTTTATCTCAGTCATTGAATGTAAGGCATGTTAAGTTATATTACTCTAAATGTACACCATATATTTAAGGTGCTGACCACAGAAGGGGTCCCTTGCAATCTTCAGACTGTGACTTCACCATGTTCGTGATGGTTTTATAGGATGTTTTTCTTGATAGTGGGGCACTTAAGCTTCTAAGTTAACTTTGCTGCCAGTCATAATTAATTTACAACCTTGAAACGACTGGCTTGAGTGATAATCTTTCATTCAGCAGATATTGCTTGTCACAATCATTTAGCATAGTGTTTTCAGTGATGTTTGACATTAAAAGACAGGTGGATTTTAATCTTAGTTATTTTGTTATCATGCTACTATAACCTGAAAGGGGCTCTTGCAGTAGGACCCTAAGTGACTTATAGAACCATCCTGTGTAAATGATGTAAGTTATGTTAAAATACATTATTTTAAGTGACCATGTTCCTTGAGTACTTCTTTTTTGGGTGGTGTTTTAAAATGTGCTTTTCACTATATCTGTTGTTGTTGTTATATGTTTTAAAAAATTATTTCATGTGTACTTTTTTGGTTATTAAGTTTTTACAATGACATATTTTACTTTTCAAGATATCCCCTTTCTAGCCATAATTTTTACTTTGTATTTACATGCAATTCTAGAATATCCGAGTGCGGACAGTAAAAGGCCAAGATTATCTTTCCAAAACAGGAGCAAAATTTCATGGAAAAATGGAACAGAAATTTTTGTTAATTGACTGCCACAAAGTTATGTATGGTTCCTACAGGTAAGATCATTGTGTTTACCTCCAGTATTATCAAATAGAATTTATAGAATTTATAGAATTTATAGAATTTATGAGTTTCAAGTTTTAATGTAACCTGTTCAGTTATTTCTTAAAAATAAAAGAAGAACCCTTGCATGAAAAGCTTGGAAACGTGAATTTCAGTTCTGGCTGTGAAGTCATTGTGCAAGTCACATAACTTCCTTGGGCCTCAAGTTCTTCCTCCCCAAAATGAGAGAGTTGACTTATATCTCAGGTTTCCTAAAGCTCTATAATGCTAAAAGTGTTTTTGTTCCTCATGAAAACAGTATAAATCATAATAATTGTTCATAAAAATAGAAGCTGTGTATCACCTTGAAGAACCTGCCTAATGGATTGCTCTTATTTTAGTATTATTTAGACTCTGATGATTATCATGTTGTCATCATAGGACTACTGAAAAATCATTGAAGAGTCTGGCTGTTAAAATGCCATGGTAGACACTAGGCAAGGTTTTTCAGCCCCAGATCTACTCTCTGGCATCTTTCTAGGGCACCACTGCTGGAATATATCTACTTCTGTTCTAGCTTGGCTCTTATGTTTCATTCCCAGTCCTTACAACTTCTCTGCAAGGCAGTTGTTTTTATCTACATTTGATAAATGATGAAATGGAAGTTCTAGAAGGTTCAGTGACTTGCCAGAAACATCACAGTTAAGGGTCAAAACACAGTTCAGTTCTGGCAACCCAGTCTAGGTCCAGCTGATTCCAGAGTATAAGTGCTGCCTTCAAACTCCCTTATAAATTCCAGGCATTGGTCCTGAATGGGATACACAGTAAGGCTATATCAATAGGCAGATAAAAACACCAAAAACACGTGAACTGGAGAGGGGGAAGATGGTGGAAGAGTAAGACATGGAGATCACCTTCCTCCCCACAGATACATCAGAAATACATCTACACGTGGAACAACTCCTACAGAACACCTACTGAATGCTGGCAGAAGACCTCAGACCTCCCAAAAGGCAAGAAAGTCCCCACATACCTGGGTAGGGCAGAAGAAAAAAGAATTAACAGAGACAAAAGAACAGGGACGGGACCTACACCAGTGGGAGGGAGCTGTGAAGCAGGAAAAGTTTCCACACAGTAGAAGCCCCTTCGTGGAGATTGCGGGAGGCGGAGCGGGGAGCTTCGGTGCCGCGGAGGAGAGCGCAGCCACAGGGGCGCGGAGGGCAAAGCGGAGAGATTCCCGCACAGAGGATCGGCGCCGACCGGCGCTCACCAGCCCGAGAGGCTTGTCTGCTCACCCACCGGGGCAGGCGGGGCTGGGAGCTGAGCCTCGGGCTTCGGTTGGAGCACAGTGAGAGGACTGGAGTTGGCGGCGTGAGCACAGCCTGAAGGGGTTAGTGCACCACAGCTAGCAGGGAGTCTGGGAAAAAGTCTGGACCTGCCGAAGAGGCAAGAGACTTTTACTTCCCTCTTTGTTTCCTGGTGCGCGAGGAGAGGCAATTAAGAACAATGCTTAAAGGAGCTCCAGAGACAGGCGCAAGCCACGGCTAACAGCGCGGACCCCAGAGACGGGCATGACATGCTAAGGCTGCTGCTGCCGCCACCAAGAAGCCTGTGTGCGGGCACAGGTCACTATCTACACCCCACTTCCGGGGATCCTGTGCAGCCCGCCACAGCCAGGGTCCTGGGATCCAGGGACAACTTCCCCGGGAGAACACATGGCACGCTTCAGGCTGGTGCAGTGTCCTGTTGGCCTCTGCCGCCGCATGCTTGCCCCGCATCATAGCCCTCCCTCCCCACGGCCTGAGTGAGCCAGAGCCCCCGAATCAACGGCTCCTTTAAACCCGTCCTGTCTGAGTGAAAAACAGACGCCCTCCGGCGACCTACATGCAGAGGTGGGGCCAAATCCAAAGCTGGACCCCAGGAGCTGTGCGAACAAAGAAGAGAAAGGGAAATCTCTCCCAGCAGCATCAGAAGCAGCAGATTAAAGCTCCACAATCAACTTGATGTAACCTGCGTCTACGGAATACATGAATAGACAACAAATCATCCCAAATTGAGGAGGTGGGCTTTGAGAGCAAGATTTATTATTTTTTCCCCTTTTCCCCTTTTTGTGAGTGTGTATGTATATGCTTCTCTGAGAGATTGTGTCTGTATAGCTTTGCTTTCACCATTTGTCCTAGAGTTCTATCCGTCTGTTCATTTTTTTGTTTCTTTGTTTTTTTAGTTTTTTAAAAACTTTTTTCTTAATAATTATTTTTTATTTTAATAACTTTATTTTATCTTACTTTATTTTATTCTTTTTTATCCTCTTTCTTCCTTCCTCCTTTCTTTCTTTCTTTCTTTCTTTCTTTCTACTTTTTCTCCCTTTTCTTCTGAGCCGTGTGGATGAAAGGCTCTTGGTGCTGCAGCCAGGAGTCAGTGCTATGCCTCTGAGGTGGGAGAGCCACCTTAAGGACACTGGTCCACAAGAGATCTCCCAGCTCCACGTAATATCAAACAGCGAAAATCTCACAGAGATCTCCATCTCAACACCAGCACCCAGCTTCACTCAATGACCAGCAAGCTATAGTGCTGGACACCCTATGCCAAAAAACTAGGAAGACAGGAACACAAAACCACCCATTAGCAGAGAGGCTGACTAAAATCATAATAAGTCCACAGACACCCCCAAAACACACGACCAGACGTGGACCTATTCAGAACACTCGTCAAGAAGAGACCTCCCAGCCCCACATAATATCAAACGGCGAAAATCTCCCAGAGATCTCCATCTCAACACCAGCACCCAGCTTCACTCAACGACCAGCAAGCTACAGTGCTGGACAACCTATGCCAACCATATAGCAAAACAGGAACACAACCCCACCCACTAGCAGAGAGGCTGCCTAAAATCATAATAAGTCCACAGACACCCCAAAACACACCACCAGACGTGGACCTGCCCACTAGAGAGACAAGATCTAGCCTCATACACCACAACACAGCCACTAGTCCCCTCCACCAGGAAGCCTACACAACCCACTGAACCAACCTTAGCCACTGGAGACAGACATCAAAAACAACGGGAGCTACGAACTTGCAGCCTGCAAAAAGGTGAACCCAATCACAGTAAGATAAGCAAAATGAGAAAGACAGAAAAACACACAGCAGATGAAGGAGCAAGATAAAAACCCGCCAGACCTAACAAATGAGAGGAAATAGGCAGCCTACCCGAAAAAGAATTCAGAATATTGATAGTAAAGATGATCCAAAATCTTGTAAATACAGTAGAGAAAATGCAAGAAACATTTAACAAGGACCTAGAACAACAAAAGTTGAAACAAGCAATGATGAACAACACAAAAAATGAAATTAAAAATACTCTAGAAGGGATCAATGGCAGAAAAACTGAAGCTGAAGAACGGATAAGTGACCTGGAAGATAAAATAGTGGAAATAACTACTGCAGAGCAGAATAAAGAAAAAAGAATGAAAAGAACTGAGGACAGTCTCAGAGACCTCTGGGACAACATTAAACGCACCAACATTCGAATTATAGGGGTTCCAGAAGAAGAAGAGAAAAAGAAAGGGACTGAGAAAATATTTGAAGAGATTATAGTTGAAAACTTCCCTAATATGGGAAAGGAAATCGTTAATCAAGTCCAGGAAGCACAGAGAGTCCCATACAGGATAAATTCAAGGAGAAATACGCCAAGACACATATTAATCAAACTGTCAAAAATTAAAAACAAAGGAAACATATTAAAAGCAGCAAGGGAAAAACAACAAATAACACGCACGGGAATCCCCATAAGGTTAACAGCTGATATTTCAGCAGAAACTCTGCAAGCCAGAAGGGACTGGCAGGACATATTTAAAGTGATGAAGGAGAAAAACCTACAACCAAGTTTACCCTACCCAGCAAGGATCTCATTCAGATTTGATGGAGAAATTAAAACCTTTACAGACAAGCAAAAGCTGAGAGAGTTCAGCACCACCAAACCAGCTTTACAACAAATGCTAAAGGATCTTCTCTAGGCAAGAAACACAAGAGAAGGAAAAGACCTACAATAACAAACCCAAAACAATTAAGAAAATGGGAATAGGAACATACATATTGATAATTACTTTAAATGTAAATGGATTAAATGCTCCCACCAAAAGACACAGACTGGCTGAATGGATACAAAAACAACACCCATATATATGCTGTCTACAAGAGACCCACTTCAGACCTAGAGACACATACAGATTGAAAGTGAGGGGATGGAAAAAGATATTCCCTGCAAATGGAAACCAAAAGAAAGCTGGAGTAGCAATTCTCATATCAGACAAAATAGACTTTAAAATAAAGACTACTAGAAGAGACAATGAAGGACACTACTAATGATCAAGGGATCGATCCAAGAAGAAGATATAACAATTGTAAATATTTATGCACCGGACATAGGAACACTTCAATACATCAGGCAACTACTAACAGCCATAACAGGGGAAATCGACAGTAACACATTCATAGTAGGGGAGTTTAACACCCTTCTTTCACCAGTGGACAGATCATCCAATATGAAAATAAATAAGGAAACACAAGCTTTAAATGATACATTAAACAAGATGGACTTAATTGATATTTATAGGACATTCCATCCAAAACAACAGAATACACATTTTTCTCAAGTGCTCATGGAACATTCTCCAGGGTAGATCATATCTTGGGTCACAAAACAAGCCTTGGTAAATTTAAGAAAATTAAAATTCTATGAAGTATGTTTTCCAACCACAATGCTATGTGACTAGATACCAATTACAGGAAAAGATCTTTAAAAACTACCAATACATGGAGGCTAAACAATACTCTACTTAATAACGAAGTGATTACTGAAGAAATCAAAGAGGAAATCAAAAAACACCTAGAAACAAATGACAATGGAGGCACGATGACCCAAAAGCTATGGGATGCAGCAAAAGCAGTTCTAAGAGGGAAGTTTATAGCAATACAATCCTACCTTAAGAAACAGGAAACATCTCGAATAAAC